AGGGGATAGCACGGTGCATTGTCAGGGCCACTCTCACCGACTGTGTTGTTCTGGAGTCAATGCTCTCTGAGCTGGGCAGAGTGGGATTGGCAGGTTCACAGCGGGTAGCTCAGAGCAAAGTACTGTCAGTAACATTTTAACTGGGACAGGCATCTAATGAGAATGCATAGCCAAAACATATTAATGCGCTGAAAAGGCTTTGAAATGCATCTTAGCATGACATTTGCTCACCTACTGCCAGAAATAAGGACAGCTAAAAGCAACATTTTAATATCTTTGGAGAACAGAACTGGAACTGCAATAGACTTTTTAATGGTCTTCAAATAATACTGCTATGTACCACGATGTGAAGCTGAGATTCTGTCTTTGTGCATGATAATGCACAGTAAGATTTAATCAGGTTTCAACTCTTGCACACACCTAAGGATGCAGAATGTACATATGATGGAGGCTCTAAACACTTGCAAAACATCCACGAATCATATTTTTTCAGGATTAGCAGTGCCCTGTAAATTGGAATGATCAAACTTGAAGCAAGAGCTAAGAAAAACATAATAAATCCCCTGTACTTTTATGCACTCCCAAACATAATGATAAAAGTAGTAACAAAAGCAAGTTTCCTGAACTAAAAATATGTGCTCTCATTTGAAGAAAGAGAAAATGGAAAAATACATGTTATAGCATCAATATGAAGGATTCCACCTATCCAGAAAAGTATGGCTGCACCACACAAAAGATTAGATCCTACCCAGATACATCAGTATCATTCATAACCCTGAAAGAAAAAGGAAAAAAGAATGGAGGAAAGACATCTTACACTGGAGGAAAGGAAAACTTCAGTAACAACATCACCTTATTTAGCAACTTGCCAACCAGTCAGAAATAAATAGCAACAAGTAAACTAGCATTAAAGCCCCAAACACAGTGTAAACATTGCTTAACATGAGGAGACCTAAAAAGCATGATGCTTACATTTTGGAAGCTCTTATGTAGTGTCTGTCCCATTGACATTGAGCTGGATCCACAAAACAGTATTTCCCACACACCAGCCCACAAAGTAGCCATGGAAAAATACCAGGGTAGAGTTTTTAACCCCAGGCCATGTTGTTCAGAAGCTCTGGACTGTTACAGTTCAAAGTTAATTTGGCCCATTAAAGGGATGGGAAAGTTTGGATACAGATCCAAACTCCCTCTATGCTTGGCAACACTGAATCAGTTTGGATTTCATCCATTTCTAATCACTGAACATTCGTTTGTTATTAGGATTCGTTGGGCCAGGGGAGATACCAGCTGCTGGATTCTGAAGAAGACCTGGTCGTAACTCATGTCTCCATGATAAGGTTCAGGCAGGCAGGTAGAATCTTTGCATGCTGCCTGGATGAGGTGTGGGAGGACGATAAGCTGTAGCTGCCCTGATCAGTCGAGGTGAAGAAGAGAAGTTCAGAGAGACAGTTTATTGCTGCAGGTGGGTAGCAAACTCACACACATCACTCAGAACAAGCATAACTCTCCTTAACAATGTATCAGGTAAGAAAGCAGACAAGCAGCTCACCCCAGTCCATCTACACACAGTGAGAGTTGCAGCCTTGCAGAGACATTTCTCGCGGTGCTAAAGCATAGGCAAAGCTGCCCTGTGTGAGTTGCAGTGGATGCTACTGTATCCCTCTGCTGCACCTTTGCTACCAGAGCAAGCCACAATTCTGCTCACAGGAATCCTGCAGGAGTTTTTGGAGACAGATTTGGAGATCTTTCAATAGAAGGTAAGACCTTTCAATAGAAGAAGGCAGGTTAAGAATAGCAGCCAGGGAGGGAGGATGGGACAGCAAAAGCCAAGAGGCTGTGGTTACCTCTCCTGATAGATGTGACTTTGCAACGAGGCAAAGGGGATTTGCATAGCAAGTCTCACCCACAGTGACTGAGGCTGATGATTTCAATAACACTGCCCCCAGGGAGTGAGGGGCTCCAAGCTCTGCGCGAAAAGGCAGCATGAGCTGTGTCAGCTGCACCGGAGTGCTGAGTAGGCACTTTCTGCGTCAGAGCAGACCCGTTCCGGCAGGAAACGAGGCCACGTAGGTGCTGCCAAAGCCGAGCAAGCCATATCCTGCGGGTCAGAGGCTCCACTCGCGTGCGTCAGCACACTTCCAGAGAAGCTAAGGGAGGTGCACTGGTTTACAGAGCCGTGTGGCTGGCCTGTGGGTGAAAGAGAAAAGGGAATTGTATTGCACGTTCATTTGGTCTCTGGGATTTTTGGTGCACAGGTAAACTTTGATGGTATCAGGTAAGAGGCATCAACAAGCTTGAAAAAACATTTTACAAAAGCAGAAACAGCTGCTACAAATGGGTTGAAGGGATGAAAGGTTTTAACAGTGAAATAATGTAAACCACATAGTTGCAACCTTTCATGCAGGTTGCCCCAGTTCCGTTAGCAAACCCTTCCAATGCAGGCACAAAGGAAGGTTACAGATCACCCAGCTGCAGCCCAGAGGTTGGAACCCATTTGCGTAAAATCATCCAAGTCAGCAGCAAATCTGAGAAGATGGGTGGTCAGCAGTCTATGTTCCTCCACAGCTCACTAGCCTGAGTACATCCCAAGAGATTGGCAAAATGTAGATTTATTTAGGTATGTTAGGCACTGGGTTGCCTAACAAATGCTGCTGGCAGTACGTTAGTGGCAAGAGAGAGATCTGTGCATAGAAGCTTATGGGCCCTGTTCCTAGCTGTGCAAAGAAAAGCTCTCCCTTGATAAAAAAAACCTAAAAGCACAGCATGACCTGAGCTTATTTATGCAATAAGTATAAAAGACTTTCAGCCTAAACTGCTTTTAAAAGTACATTTTGAAATTTAAAATAAATGTCTCTTTAAGCATAAGGAACACTTTTTATGTTCTTGTGTTAATGAAGATCTTTCAGTAGGGGAGAAATGAACTAAATAATTCTACACAAAAGAGAGAACCCACAACACACAGGAAACTGTCAAAGGTACAGAGATCACAAGCTGCAAAACAGAAAGAATATGTTTTCAGTAAACTATCAGGCACGTGAGACTGGAGAAGCCCAGATGGACCTCTGACTCTTCTTCTTCTATCTATCTTCTGTCACAGGCAAATACATCATATGAAGCCTTCTCACCAATTGATCGATCTAGCTCTGCCCCAAAGCTCATTAGGGTTCTTGATGCAATTAAAGGAACTGTTAGTGCCATCAGTAACTGGAATGGTTGATAAACAATGACAAATATTGATACTGATTCTCATAGTGCATCTTTAAGCTCTGTAGTGTCCAGACACTCACGTGAGAGCTTAGGCAGTCCTTATCGATATCTTTACATCACTATTTTGTACTCACCATTAAAAGATTAGTAGATTGAAGGAATTTATGAGAGACATGGAGTGAGGCATGACTGAGCCTAGCAGAATTATATGAGAAGGTCTAAAATGTCCATCTAGCCTAATATCTTTTCTCCAACAATGGCAAGCAGCGAATGCTTTGAAAAAGAGTATGCAAGATCAGTCATTCCTGGTTTCCCTCTCAATTAACAGCGCAAGGACTTCCTGAGCTGGAGCTTCCATCAGGACCATCAAATTAAATAATTGCTGGTACATTTTTTTGTGAATTTGTCTGTTTATTTTTGAATTAGCTTATCTCTTTGATATGATTTCCTTTTGCTACGTTAAAGGAGTAGACTCGAATCGACAAATATTAATTAGCTCCCCAGGCAGTACAAATTTAAGAACGCCCTCTGTTTCCTCAGGTCTGCTGATTGTTCTGTGCATAATCCTGACCTGTCATTCTCTTGCGAGGAGTGTTTGCTGTACGGATACGAATTGTACGGTGTTAAAGGTAATGTTCAGCCTCGTAAGGATCAGACGAAGCACACGCTAAATTTTCTGTGATGCTTAAAAGCAGACATGTATTATCCTGCCTAAGTGATTACTAGGAGAGGGGTGGAGTAGCTAAATTGGTACTAATTGCCCTTTCCACAGAAGCAAAACAATGTGTGTATCATCCACACTTCATGCAACGTGCATACTAAAACCAGGCATAACCCATCATACCTGCTAGTAGAAGGGTTAAACCCATGTCTCTGGAGATTTGTGGGCTTTCAAATGACAAACACTTTCAAAAGGAGTAAAGGGGAAGGGCAGGAGTAGACTGCCAGGTGCCTTCCCTTGTCCTTTCTGGTACCATTTGGCAAAACAAACACAGTAACCTTGAGGCAATGCACCTTAAGCTGCTATAGCAATTAATTTAGGACTTTTTAAGAGAGAGGGTGAATGTCAGTGCTCCCACAGCAGAGGGCAAAATCCTCCCAACCCCGGAGCATCGTGTGTAATATCCTAGCACAGGTGTCCAAACAGCCTACAGCATCCATCCCCATACCTGCTGAAGGGCCACTCCTGCCTGCCAGACCTCCTTATCCCCAGGCTGCCACCAGCAGGGCCCACAGAAAGGGAGGCAGCTGTTAACTGGAACTGCCTGGAAATGGTGCTCCTGTTCTAGTTAAGGAGTGGGATGAAGGGAATGGGCATGAGGGCCTGCAAAATTTCAAACACTTCCAGGGAAGCAGAGAGGATGCATAACACAGTCTTCCCTGTCCCACCACCCTGCCCCACAACCCCTAGCTGCCAGGCTGTCTCAGCCGCTCGCGAAGAGGCTTTCTGTGCTCAGAGAGGGGAGCTCTCCGCTTACCATCGGCACGGATCCGTGTCCTTTGGGCATGGGGTGTGTGCACAGGGGGGATCACAGAGACTACAGATGGAGCAGACCTATCTAGCCCTAGGGCCGCCCCACAGACCTGAGCTCGGTGGGAAGAAAAGAAAGGGAAAGAAGGCGAGAAAAAGAGGAGGAGAGTTGAATAGGGGGCAGGACGGTGGGAAGAGCAGAGAAGTAGGGAGGGAAGGAAGAAAGCGGAAAAAAAGGAGGAGAAAGGGGAGGAGATGAAAGGCAAGGGGAGAAGGGAGGACCGGGCGGGGAGGAGGCGAGAGGCCGGGGAGAAGAGGAGGGAGGCAGCTCGGCAGAGAGGGAAGGGACGGGACCCGGCGCCCCGCGGGCCATGCGCCTCCTGGCCACGGCGCTGGCCGCCCTGCTGGCCACGGCCCCGGCCCCAGGTAAGCGGCACCGCGGGCGCGCAGCGGCC